TTCACTGTACGCAAGCGTACTTTTGGGAGCAAGCGGAACGAAGGCGCGGTGCGGGACGCAAGGTTCGACTGATCTACCAATAACGCGCTCGATACGATTTCCCCTGCCGTCGCGCCTCACCCTCACCACCAAAGTGATCTAAAATTCGGTTCTGCGCAGTCAAGGTCATTTGCTCACGATGTTTGCCGGTTACTATACAGACATTAATTAATAAATTAATTAAATATAATGGACACAACAAAATGCTTGTTTACTATCTACCAAGATATAATTTATCTATTATTATTTATCATGCTATTACCCAGAGAAGATAACAATTATCATTGTAAGTTACTAGTCCGGTTTTTCAAATGTTATACACAATAGGATCAGCATTGCACATAGGTACGTTGCGATGTGGTGGAGCACGTGTTTAAGTTTATGTGCTATTTTGGCTAGCGTAAGGCCGGATAGTACCGATTCAAGAGAAGTCAAAATATCTCAAGGAACCGTGAAGGGGTATAGGGACCCCGAAGGTGATCTGTTTGCTTTTTATAATATACCCTATGCTACGGGTTCAAGCGGAATGGCGCGATTCAAGGTGAGGTTAATAATTTGAAAACTCTTTTTGTTTAACCTATGCTGATAGCCTTGAGAGGCTATTTCAGCTTCGCCCTAACGTGTATAGGTGAGCTCACGGGGCTCAAACCGGAGTGTTGCTAACACTGACCCTAGCAAGATCAGTGCTTCACAGAATCTACCACCGGATCGGAAACGCGACCCACTGAGAAGATCCATCGAGAAACTCAGTGGGCTGTGTCTATGGGTTAATTCGCTCGTCGAGCCCTTCGTCGCAAGCGGCGGGTTCGACGAGGACGGTGACCGGTGCTTGTGGTGCCTAAAAGCACCGTTAATGGATCAGGAGGATCCGTAATGACGTGCTTTGGGCGACGTCAACGGTTTACCATTCGAAACTCTTTATTGTCAGCTTGTGTAATGGTTGCAAAGTGAATCAAGGACTAAAATCAGAATAGAATTAATTTACTATATTTAGCAAATGGTAGTTAACGTTTGCTTGATACTAACTAATATTATAGATAGCTAAGATTTGAATAGTGTTTGATTGGAAATATTTTATGTAAAATGTATGTCAATTAATGTTTTTTTTGAAACAAAACGCCTAGCAAATTGGTAATAGCACCGCATTATTGTGGTTAGGTTGTAAATTAAGATGTAAGTTTCAAAAAAAGAAAGAGGTACCTTCAGGACCCGGTTCTAATGGAGTTTGATCTTTCTATAGTTTTTTATGTTTGTATTAAGTAATGATTTAAAAAAAATCAATATTAATTAATGAAACGAATCTGTTTACATTTGAGGGATTGGGTTCTTTAGGTGATGAGGGGCTATTTAAAAACACAACTGCTTCATTATAATTATATTGCAGATTGCTTGAACACTTTTACACCATTATACAATTATTATCTTTATATTTTTTTATAAAACTATTATATGTTTCTCTTGCTGTGTCTAGATGAGAAGTACTGACTTTTTCTTAGGAGAATACAATCATCTGTTTTTTAAACATTTAAAATAATTCTAATATTCGAAATCTAATCAAGTGTCAAGTGTTGCCTGCCATTACATTTATATACAAACTCCAACACACCCCCTCAATACTTGCACACATTTTTCTCCGTCTATAATTTAATACCAAAAAAGAATAACACTAACCTAACCTTCATAAATTAATTCTTTCCATACATACCTAAAAACCTCACAACCACTTACATTCCGTTACTTCTACATAATCCCTCTCAATTCAACCAACAACTATTCATTCAACCTTTCAAACTTAATACTATCTTTAATGTCGCTACCTTTAATCCTTTCTTACTTCTCCAACTCCAATTCGATCAAAAATGTACTTTCATTCAACCATACAACCATTCAACCTTAACTTCCCTCTNTCTTTAATGTCGCTACCTTTAATCCTTTCTTACTTCTCCAACTCCAATTCGATCAAAAATGTACTTTCATTCAACCATACAACCATTCAACCTTAACTTCCCTCTTGACTCACTATATAAAACCTTAACTATAATAGTCTAACTCCTTCTCGACTTCCTACATAAACTCTTCAAGTTTATTTAAAACTTTTAACGCCTTCTCAACCTCTAACTTTAATAACCTTCAACTCCTTCTCAACCTCTAACTTTAATAACCTTCAACTCCTTCTCAACCTCTAACTTTAATAACCTTCAACTCCTTCTCAACCTCTAACTTTAATAACCTTCAACTCCTTCTCAACCTCTAACTTTAATAACCTTCAACTCCTTCTCAACCTCTAACTTTAATAACCTTCAACTCCTTCTCAACCTCTAATTTTATTAACCTTCAACTCCTTCTCTACCTCTAAAACCTTTAATCTCCTTCAACTCCTCTTTAACCTTTAAACTCCTTCAACTCCTCTTTAACCTTTAAACTCCTACTCGACTCTTTTACCTTTAAACTCCTACTCGACTCTTTTATCTTTAAACTCCTACTCGACTCTTTTACCTTTAAACTCCTTCTCGACTCTTTTACCTTTAAACTCCTTCTCGACTCTTTTACCTTTAAACTCTTTCTCGACTCTTTTACCTTTAAACTCCTTCTCGACTCTTTTACCTTTAAACTCCTTCTCGACTCTAACCTTCAACTCCTTCTCGACTCTTTAACCTTCAACTCCTCTCACAAACCACATAACTCATAACAAATAACCTCGCACAACTTCAACAAACTCAACATTTGAATTCACATAACACATACAACCTTACATTATTCATACAACCTTCTATTATCTTTTATAACTTTTTTTTTTTCACTTTCTTAAATTTTCTTACTTTTTTTTTTGCACATATCCGTTCAATTATTTCAATATAATATTAAAACCAAAATTCCTAACATCTTTTATAACAAAAACAACAATAAAACAAAACTATAAAAGAGACTCAAAAGGATTTTAGAAAACGACTTTAAATATGTTTGTTTTAAAATAATGTGTACTTCCTCCACGGCTTAAGATAACCAATGGTTTTATTTTATATTTTTACTAATAAACAATTGTATTTATATGGTCACCCCCTTAATTGTTTATGTATTGGAAGATATCACCCCCTTAATTTTTGAATTATCCTTGTCTCTTTTTAGTTATATCTATTGTAGTATACAGCATTTAAATTTTCCTATCAAACTTATACACTAACCCGTTTCTCCCGAAACACATGTTCACTTTTTTAAAATGAATACACTTAAAGTCTCAAAGTTTTCCATGACCAGATTTTCATTTGTTAATCTGCTATCATTTGTTCCATTTTCATTTGTTTCTCTATTATTTCGCCTTTTAACAACTTCTCTAACTTTACGCCATTTCTACTTCATTACACTCCATTACTATTATTTCCTCTAATATAACCTTATCGAACTCCACTAACATCATTTCTTCCTATTTCACCTTCTCGAACTTCATCACCTCCATTACTATTATTTCCTCTAAAATCACCTTCTCGAACTCCATTAACTCCATTTCTTCCTCTTACACCTTCTCGAACTTCATTACCTCCATTACTATTATTTCCTCTAAAATCATCTTCTTGAACTCCATTAACTCCATATCTTCCTCTAGCACCTTCTCGAACTTCGTCTTAACGATTATTTTTATTTGTTACTTATGTTAGTGTTCTCCCTTTTTTTTTTTTTTTTTTTCGGGTAGAGGGCCGAACC